TCTTTCCTTTTCATCTATTATGGTGCAGGTAGGGATTTACTATGCAAAATAACTGCTAAAGAAAAACCTGCCCCAGTATTAAGAGAAGCCCATTTTTCTCTGTAAATAGTAACTAACTAGTAGACTGTTCTTGTGGACTACATAAGAGAGATTGTAAGACTGACACTTTTTGGTTTGGTTCAGTGTAGTTTTTTCTTCCAACAATTATAAATTTGTTTCCAGGTACATTTTAAAGTGCTGGCTTTGATCTATAAAGCCATTTATGTCTTGGCATCTGGATACCTGTAGGACTGCTGACTCCAGTTAGAATTAGCCTGACCTATAAGGTCATATTCTGGAGGAACTGCTCCCACTGCCTTGTTTTCAGGAGCTGGGGCCAAGAGGCACTGCCTACTTCTCTGGAACAGTCTCTTTTTGAAGATCAAGCTGCCCCCCTCCCTCCCTGATTGCATTCAGCAAGATGCTGAAGACTGAATTGTTTAAAGATTGGGGGAGGGAGGAGAGGAGTGGCTAGCCACTGGTGAAGTTGATGTGCTGGGCTGTTGCTGACCTAGCTCTTTACATACATTTAACCATTGAAATCTGTTTGGAGACCTCTTAAGTGTTAAGATTAAATAAGAAAGGTGTCCAGAAAGGAACTTCACAAAGAAGCAGAGGAATTAAAGTCTAAATGGACAAACCAATGGCACCAGAAGTGGAATTCTCCTTCAGTAATAAGGAAGAAGAAATGGAAAAGGAGAAAGGTTTTTGGGAGGGTGCTAGAAAATTATGCATCGTCCTGGATGAGATTTGGATTTTGACACATTGGCATATATGATTAAGCAACTTAAACACGAAGAATATGAGGGAATAATGAGGCAAGTGAGCTACCAAGGTATGAAAGGGCTTGGAGACGTTAATAAACAACTTAAAGAAATGTTTTGCCAAATACCAGATATTGCTCAGACTTCTAGCATATCCTATTGCTATGAAAAATGAGCTTGATATTGGAAAAGTTCAAAAAGATATTACAGATATTAAACTAGATTTGGCAGACGTCTAGGACCGGAATAGAAGAAATAGTCTGAGACTTAAAGGCATCAGAGAGAATGTAGAAAAGACTGATTTAATTGGATATCTTATCTCTAAGATTAATGACTTCTTGCCACATTTATAGCTTTCAGACAAAGATGCAGAATTCTCTTAGATTCATCTGAATGCAAAAGCCAAGAAACATAATTGCAAGATTTGTAAATATTCTGTACGAAAAACAAAGTTGTTCAAAGAACTTGTGAGCTGGAAGAAACAAACTGGGAAAGAGATTATTTTTCAAGATATCAATTAATTCATTTAAAAGATTTGTAAGACCGCCCATCTTAAAAGATACAACTCTGAGCGGCTGAAAGCATGGGTGCAAAACCAAAACACCATAAAAACAATAAAGGCAAAAACCTGGCACCCCAACTAATCTCCTTTGGTGCAGCCAACATCACTACCCTCAGGGTCTGTGCTAACTCTATCCAAGTACTTGGAAGGAAGAACCAGCTCTTTAGGCCTTCTGGAAGGTCAAGATGGTGGGAGTGTGCTGGATCTGAAGGGAAGGGTGTTCCATAGGGCAGGGGGCGTTATGGAAAAGGCACACTACCTAGGTCCCGCTAGATGGCAACATTTAAGAGAAAGGACCTGGAGCATGCATACTCTATCTGATCTGGTGGGATGGGCAGATACCCTCAGTGAGAAGTGGTCCTGCAGATAATCAGGCCCTGTTCCAAGTAGGACTTAAAAGGTAATAACCACCACCTTGAGTTTTACCTGGAAAAAAACCTGGGAGCCAATGCAGCTTGCGCAACAGAGGATATAACATTGGTGAACCTAGGGATGCCCAACCCTGTGCATGCCGCCACATTCTGGACCAGGATGGTATTCAAGGGCAGCCCCATGTAGTGTGAACTGCAGTAGTCCAATGGGGATATGACCAAGGCATGCGTGACCATGAGCAAGGCTGCCCAGTCCAGGAATGGGAGCTATTGACACACAAGATGAATTTTTACAAAGGCCCCCTAGCCACTTGCTCCTCATACAGTAGCTGTGAGTCTAGGAGGACACCCAAATTGTGCACCACTTCTGTCCAGGAAAGCGCTACCCATCTAGAGTCAAGGATGACACATCACCAGACCCTGAGGGGCAAAAACTCAAAGCCACTGCATCTTGCCATGGTTGAGACAGAGTTGCTTCCTCTTTATCCACACCCTCACAGCTTCCAGGCACTGAGTCAACACTGCAGTAGCATCTCCTGCCCAGGCAGGGGTGGAGATGTATAACTGGGTATTATCAGCATATTGATACTACACCCTGTGCCATCAAATGACCTCATCCAGTAGTTTTACATGGATGTTGAAGAGGAGTGGCAAGTGATCTGAGCCCTGAGGAACCCTAAACTGCATGGGCCTGGGGTTAGACTTCTTCCCCCCAGTAGCAGTGACTGGAACTGGCCATGGTGGAAGGAGGAAAGCCAGCACAAAACAATGCCTCCTGCTCCTAATCGCCAGAGCCAGCCCAGAAGGATACCATGGCCAATGATATCAAAAGCTGCCTGTCCAGGAAGGCCAGGGCAGTTATGCCACCTCCCTCCTGACCCTTCCAAATGTCATCTGCAAGAGCAACCAATGCTGTCTCAGTATTGTACCCTGGCTTGAACCCAGAATGAAAAGGGCCAGATAATCTGCTTCATCCAGAGCCCTCTGCAGCTGAACACCAACCACCCTCTCAACAACCTCCTCTGAAAAGGGAATGTTGGAAACTGGATGAAAGATATCCCACATTGTTGGGTCCAAGGATGGCCTCTTAAGATGGGAGTGTGCCACTGCCTCCTTTCAAATGCAATAAGGGTGAATGACTGCTTCAACACTCATAGAGGAGCACTTCATTACACGCTTGCAAGACACCAGCCCTAATTCTGAATACTTCACTCTTAAAGTGCTTCCCAGATCTGAATTGCTGTACATTCAACTATGTTTGTCATTCAGATATGGGGCTGCCATTCCTCTTTTCTGACAAATTATGCCACAGCAGGCTGGCATAACATATTCTTTGGAATAACCATACCAGTTGAATTTGGCTGGAACCAATGAGCAAGAATTCATTCACTTTGCTTGTTTTGTAAGAACTTGCCCAAATGTTTACATATCTTCATGAATGGATTGGAGAGGATTAAAAAACAATTGAACCAGAAAGGAGTAAAATGGGCAGATTAGCTTATTTTAAACAAATTGCTCAATGGTAATGTGTGTCAGATCTTTGAACTGTTTCATTACATTGCAAAGGAACAATAACCCAGTGGCCATCTAATAAAGGAGGTTCTCATCTCATCATAAGTAACATGTAACATGTAGGAAGGAGATTTAGAAGAAGCAAAAGAAAGCAGTTCCTCACTGCCAGCCCTATGAGGTAGACCAAACGAAGAAACAGACACCACATATGCCTAAAACCATTTTTATTAAGATTGGATGTAGTAACAGAATCTTGCAAGTCTGAATGTACTTCTCTCTTTTATTTATGTAAATTCAAGGGGTATCTGTCTGAGACATTTTTGGCAAAGTTTATCTCCTTGTTACCTTGGTATCAGATCTTCCCTCTCCCCATCAAGGTCATCCTCTTTACTCTCTACATTCACACACAGCATTATTAACCTAGTGAAATCATTACCACAAGACATAATTATGGCCACTGATTTGGATGGCCTTAAAGAGGATGGGAAATTCTTGGAGGACAGGTATAACAAAGCTCCTTGGTCCTGGAGACTCAATGTTACTTTGCAGTTAGGTGCAGAATGTCTCTACTTGCAACTGCAGGAGAACAATAGTGGGAGCCTCCCCTTTGGCCTACAAGGATGTGGGAAGCAACTGGTTGACCACTGTGAGTGTCAGCCCTTTAAGGCAGTCCAGACAAGAAACCAATACCATGAGTAGTAACACTACCTTTATTGTAAGGTTACAGTTACAGAATCTTGCAAGTCTGCAAGCACATGTCTCCCACCACCCTTGCCTTTACTTTCTAGGGAGCCAGGGAGGGTCCCTTCTGTGGGCTGAGATGGCTCTTATCTGACTGTTGCCCTGGCTGTGGCTCTTTCTTCTCCTGTCTCCTAAGGATTATTCCCACAGATCATTACAGTGAGAAACAAAATGTGGGAAGAAGATAAGCTTTAGCTTTTCCTAGCACAGCTATTCTTGTGCATGTCAATGGCAGCGTATTTCAGAGTCACAGTTGTCAACCAAACGTCCTTGCCACTCTGTACATTTTGTGTATCATGTTTCATGCATTACAGTCCTTCACATATTGCAGGAAGAAAAAAATCCAAGTTTGTGAGTGGATCTATAAATAGGTACTGTGTTGTTTATGCAATTCTTAAATTTGAGCAATTTATACCATCATCCACCTTTGTCCCAAGAGATCACTGTCTTAAACTTTCCCAGTAGATGATGTCTCTATTAGTTACTGTTAATTGAACTCTAAATCTGAAAGCTTCTTGGGGTATAAGGAAATAAAACTCTCTCTCTCTCACTCTCTCTGTTGCTAATAGCTGGGCCCAACACTTGCAAAACTTCAAAGGGGGTTGTGAATCAAAGCTTTTCAACAGCGGGCTGCTCGTCTGAGTTCTAATCTTTCATGCTTTCTAATGCAATAACTTCAAAGGAATCCAAAGAGAATTGCAGTGCTCCAAAGCAATGATGTACACACTTAACAGCAAAATAGTTAGCAACCATCCCACAATTAAAATAAGAAAACAATTATTTACATAAGTTATAGTTTAATTATCATTATTGCCCCCTCCCCTTAAAAAACATCAGATTGTACAGTTCAAAAGTAATATCCAGTGCTCAAGGGGACTGCTGGAAGAAAATGAAAAAGAATTAGGAAGTGTCTTATGTATAAGTCTTCAAAGCCAAAGCAACCAATTTATGTTTCATTCTTACTTACTGAAATGTCGTTTGCATATTTTATTATTCCTATCATCTTGCTTGTTACAATCCATCCAAGGAATTCTCAAAGAACATTAAGTCCTACAAATAAATAAACTGTGAATGATGAGCAAGATACAAAAAGGCAACAATTAATATCAAAAAGCTGACTTGTAAGGTTTCATTACACCAAAGACTTTTATTATGCTTATTATTATTTTTATTAGCCAGCTGCTCTTCTGTGTGATGCCTCTGGGCAAAGACAATTTTGTGCTAGAAGAAATTGGAAAGCTTTAAGTATCAGGAGGATGTTATTTCTCTTCTTGTAAGAATAAAGTAGTGGAATAACAACTAGTGGGTGTGCAGTGGTTTGTTTTTTTTTTAATTTTTATATCACAGTTCTTGGGTTGTGGAAGGGGAAGCATAGGTGGAATATAGCTTTTCTAGCTCACCATCTTTGCTGATAAGATTTTCCAGCAGGGTTTTAAAAATGTCATATAATACATTTCTATCAGTACTACATACTGTCCAACTGACTGCCTATCTGATATGTTAGGGTTACAACTCCCATAGTTAATCTGCTCATCCAGCAAAGGTCCTGACATTCCCTGCCCGTTGACTTTGATGGGACACAGAACAATAATTCCAAAATAGGAACAAAGGTACAGACATCCCAGTATAAATCTAGTGTATTTAGCACAGACTTCGCAAGTCTTAGATAGCAGTGCAGATGATTATCTGGATATATCTTTTATCTGGATATCTGGATTATCTGGATATATCTTTTAAAGCCACTAGGAGACATGTAGCTTGTTTGTGTGATGCATCAGAACATTATAAAGTAATCAGAAGAGAAGACTGGACCTTTGTGGAAGAGGGGGTAATATACTTACTAGGAGAAAGCAAGCACCAATCATCACAGCTTTGATTTTTACATCAAGGTCCACAGGAATCTGAATGCCAAAGTTGGCTGTATTAGTGAATATGTTATTGACAAATCCAGACCAATACTTGGAAATCTTGCCAATAGTTGACATATCATTTACAGATTTTACCTGCAGAAAAGCAAAATAGCATACCAATTATTTGGAAAACTTCCCCCATGTATTCCTGAAATATTTTGATAATTTCTCTAACTGTGATGAGTCTTCCTGACATATTGTTGGTTAACAAAGTAACATACTGATAGTTACTGAGGGTTTCCCCCTTAGCCTGGCCAAGGATATTTTTAGCACTCTGGTGAGCACGATAAGCATTGGCATAGAGTGAAGCTGAAGCCTGATAAAGTGGAATGCTGATGGCTGGAGGGGTGCTGTCCTGGTGGCACGGGAGTTTTTCCTATGGTTTTATGATTTGATGTTTGGAGCATTGTTTTGTGATCCACCCAGGGTTATGGTACATCAGATGACTGGGAGGGGGGGAATACATGTCTTAAATAAACAAATACATGTTGGGATGGGCAATCTGTGTTCCCAGGGCTGCGTATAGCTCCCAACCATGTTGTCTGTGGCGAGCCTTTTTGATCGTACTACAGAATTTTATTTCCCTGTCACTTGGAAACAAAAAAAATTGTGCATGCCTCAAATAGATTTAACATAATTTAAAATGAAAAACAAAACAAAAACCCCAAACCCTAGGAAAAACAAAAAATAATGGTCTAACCTGTACATAGATAGGATTGCCCCTGACTCTGTAGGCCTTAAGACTTGGTTCTTTCCCCAGGCCTTTGAGTCCAGATGAGTGGAGTCTCAAATACTGCATTTAGTACATTTTAGCCTGGTTGCCATTTTCTGGCTTTAGTTGGTTTTTAAAGTATTGTGTTGTTTTTGTATTTGTAATTTGGCTTTTGTAACTTGCCCAGAGTCATTTTGTTGATTTGGACAGCAATGTAAATGTTATAAATAAATAAATGCATACCATGGACCCACTTTTCCTCATCATCCTATTCTTCATGGTCCTTGCTGCTCAAGACTTGGCCACCCCTCTTTTAAGTGATGGACAAGTGAGGGCAAGAATAATATTTCAAGATGGATACAAGGTTTAATAATACCATTTTCTGAGAAAGCAATAGCCTTTTTCAGCTATTGCACCTCTGCAATTAACATTCAAAGACTCCCTCTTTTTAACTAGCCCATAAACAACATGGAGATGCCATATAACAATTATGCTTAATAATAAGCCATTGATGGACCAAACTTTTCTGAACTTGGATTTATCTAAAACATGTTAGCTATTTAAACTAGTGACCATCTTGTGACAGCTACTTGCAATAATTGATTTTCCATTCACTGAAGAGGTGCTTTCGCTTATCTGTTCTGAATGTTGCCAGTGTTAGCGTAGGATCCCCAAGTTCTGATATTGTGCGTGCGTGTGTGTGTGTGTGTGTGTGTGTGTGAGAGAGAGAGAGAGAGAGAGAATTCCCTTTATTCACTTTTTCAGCAGTAGTACATCATTCCTCTCAGCTGCTCTAGAAATGATGGAACTACTAGAGCTCACATTGTTGATAACATATTGGTATGAATAACATACTGTGGAGAATGGATGTTGCCTTTACAGACTTTCACTCATATACCTATCTTCTAGGAGCTATTTATACTTCAAGTAGAAGACAAGGAATATAAGGGTGACCTGCACAAACTGCTAATTGAAATTGCATTTATGGACTGCAGATCATAACCTTCCTGAAATTGGCATCCTACAGAGGATGTGGGTACTGTGGTTCCCACAATTTCCAGTCAGCTTGGCCAAGGGCACCCAATATGGAACATTCTGGGTAACAAAAGGTTGATTCATTCCACTCTCTCAATCTTTGGCCTACCATTTCTGATTCAGATTCTTATTACTGAAAACTCAAGTAATGTTGCCAAAAGAACCTCAAAATCAACATCTCCAAAGCAACCGCATGTGACGTAAGGACCTGTGATCTTCAACACATCTTCATTATTCCCATTCCTGATTGTAAATACTGGTAGCAGTGGGTCCCATTTCTGCACAACGTAGCCAATTGTAGTTCCAGGAGGTGACTGAACTTCTAACTAGCAGACAATCAAAAATACAATTAACAACATATGGCTAAAGACTGTGAGGAGAACACACCTGATGCATACATTCATTTTTCATTTGTTTTATTTTTTAAGTGATACAGGTATAAAATGAGCATCCCCCAAACCTTGCATTTAACCCTAAAGATCTTCTAAAAGTTGGTGCTAAATTATTATGTTGGGCTGCTTATTAAGCTTATTATCTCAATGATTAGCAAATCTCTTGATGTTTTATAATGAAAACATGAAACTAGTTAAAACTGAAGAAATTAACATCAAAATTAAAATATAATAATGTATAATAGAAGATGAAAATCAAGAAACACCCAGGTTGTACTAATTAATTGTGCTAATCAATGTAATTTAGGTTAATTAAATCACTTTTCCTAGTCCCACCCACCTTTGTCCTGTCTCTTCTCTGTTTCTAGAAGGAGAAACTCCAAGACTAAGTCGGCCCCCCTGCCATAAAAGTTTACACTCTCTTATTTTAAGGCATAACCTATTATTTGTTATTGATCAGGAAATACCTGTTGTGTTCCATTAACATGGAATATCTGGTATTTTCTCAGTATATTACAAGTGCTTTAGTCAATGGATACACACACACACACACACACACTAGAGAGTTACATTTTCCATTTCTGCCTTTAGATCATAAGATCTTTGGAGACAGGGATGCTGGACACGTTTTTATGCTATAAAGTTGGTGCTATAGAAATGCTATTATTGTTGCTGATTATATTATCATCACATCACTCCTTAGTGAGATAGACTCACATGTGGACTGCTGGGCACAGAAATTATGGAAGAAATAAAACTGAGAAAGAATATCCCTAGAGATAGGAAGGCTTGCAAGACATTTATGAGCTTCGTTTTGTTTTGTTTTTTAGCATCGCAGGCTTAAAAAAATCTTATTCTGTTGTATTGAATTGTTTTCAATTGAGTGTGCACTAGGATGCACTTCCAAATACAAAACAATTTCCCCATTAAATCTTCCACATTAAAGTATACATATAAATCCAAATTAATCTAGCTAATGTATAAATAAAATAAACTCTTCTTAAGAATTACAAACCTGTTGAAGATAACATGGAAACCAGCAGCTACTACATCTTAAAGGTCTGTTCACAGTGATCACCTCTTGACCAGTATTGTCTGTGATCCTTATGGTAAAAGACCGTAATGGTGCACAGAAGTTCCGATCAAAGAAATCATTCTCTTCCACAGCAAAATAAACTCTTTGCCCCATGTGGTTTTTTATCTCATATTTGCTGCAGGTTTCAGTTCCAAGTATAACTATGGTCAAAGGGATAGACATTTTGAACAATACTACACTTACATTTAGACCTGAGCCAAATGTAAATCTTTTAGATTAGGTGTTTCAGCTACAAAACAGTCTGCGTACAATGAGGTTATGTTATTACTTCTGGGTTCATTTCATTGGCACAAACCCATTCCAGTAGAGTTCAGTAGTTGATCTGCCTTATATAACAGACTGCAACACAAGGGTTACATTAACCTCAGATGAAACTGGGTAGCCTAAGAATTTATTCTGCTAAGTTTCACACCCTTTCAGATTTACACGAGCTAGTTCATTCAAGGCATGCACCAGCTATATTACAGATTTTCCAGATTACTTAGTGTTAGTGGGAGAAGTAAGCACACAGTTAGTTCTGTTACCTGGAACTATGTGACAAAACCAACAATTTGCTTAACACTCTGACTAAAATGATTAGCCAACAGTGGATCACAGTAGCTTTTTATACTTATGGTAGTAATGTTAAGGAATTTAATTTTTATTGATTTCATTCTGATCTAACATTGTGGATGGCAATTACTTATCTGTTAGAGTTTGCTCCCCTTAAAAATTCTGATACATGTCTCAGCTTAAAAAAAATGCAGATTTTTATATATTAGTCTTACTGTTAAACAAATGAAAAGTTATATGAACCAGAAACAGACAAATTTGTCCATCCTCAATTTAATGTAAGAATTCAGATTTCAAATACCTTGGAGAAGCTCCACTTGCTGGTGAATAATAATCTGATCCAACTGTTCAAAATTGAATAGATAGTTTGAGAATAGTGAAAATCTGAGAACAGTTAGAAATGTTCATACTTGTCAACTACCCACGTTGATAAATCAAACAGTTTTGCATAGTATAATAGAAATACAGTAATGTAAACTACTGGAAGTAGAACTAAGACAAATCTGTATTGGGAAATTCAAAGAATCTATTTGAAAAAATGTGTTGGAAATGTCTACAGCATCCTTTCTGTAAGAATTCTGCACGTTTCATGTGAAGAAAGCCTAGAAATAGAACATCTGAAATGCAATAGAGTCATACAGTAGGAAACTATAATGTCCTTCCATTGCTAACTGGTGGTAGTGAGTATGATTCTTGAGTCACTGGCTAATCTGATGAGGACTGATAATACCACTCACAGAGCTAGGCCTGTTTATTATGCTTCCTCTAATTCCTAGTGTAGAGAAAGTTACACCAGGAAAACCTGCTTTGAGAAAAACCAGAAAAGCCATGGTTGGTTTACAAACTTAATTTTCTTCAATTTACATTGGAAAGCAAGTAGACATATTGTATCACACAATAATTTCAGTTATTGAAATGATTTGTGGACATCTAGAACAGGCAACCATTCAGAAGCAACATTTTTACAGGCATCTGACATTTGGTGGGAAGAGGGAGGGAATCAGAAACTTAATCAGGAAGAGGAGAGACATCTCTCACAACCGTGTCACTGGCACAAACACTTTTGATATTATACAAGTTTATTTTCTTCTTCAGATATGGAAAAATCCAAGTCCAATTCTCATTATTTAAGGAGAGAGAGAGGGCTTTTTGAATCTGCTCTGCCGTTATTACCGAACAAGATTTCTAGCAATAGTTTTCATGGAGTATTTGGAAGTGTTTGATCAGATTTGATAGGGGAGCCTTAGATCAAACTGCAGCAATGGTATGACAGAATTTCTAAGGTTTCACAATTTGGATTTGATTTCACCAGTTAGGTCCAGCTGTAAATCAAAAGTTTTGCTTTATAGAAAACTTCAAAACCAGCTTCTTTCATTCTATAAATCTGAGCCTGGAGCAGAATATTAGATGGGTTAAGCCACTTTTTTGCAGAAGCTAGATCATAATAAAATACTTAAAGATGGTTCCTCAAACCTTTACTCCTCTATCAGGAAATATGCAGTAAGAAAGAAAATGGAAGTAGTTATGCTGGCTCATTAGAAGAAAAAGATCCAAGCTCAACAGCAGGCACTGGCAAACTTTGGGCTTGCAAGATTCACTTCACTTTTTGCAAGAGCATCAGCCCAATCAGTGAGACCCAGTGGTAAAGTAATATTGGGCCCTCTCTGTTGGCAATTCTTACAATCACTACATGACTGTTTCCTTGACATTTTGATGTGTTTTCTTCTTGATCCCTTTGGGTTTTGTTTTCTTCAATCGCCTTAATAAATTAGCTAGGGAAGTTTGCTTGATGTGTTTGGCCACATTCAAATTTGTTCCTGAATTTTTCCAGGCTAGAAAACCACAGGCTTTAATTACATTCTCAATGTTTTGATTTTTTTTTTCATCTTGATCTATTGGCTTTATTAGTTACACCATGGCTTCTTCAAAAAACCACAATGATTGACTGGATTCACATATCATGATAAGCCATAAAGCAAGGTTTTACAAACTCACATTGACAGGTGATATTCAATCTGTTAAGCTAAAACCAAATAAATCATAGTATGAAGTAGCAGAGAGCCACTTTGATGTAGTGGTTAAGGCACCGGGCTAGAAACCAGGAGACTTAGATTCACTTCTAGTCTTGCCTTAGCCATGAAGCCAAGCTGGATGACTTTGGCTCACTTAGTCACTCTTTCTCTCAGCCCTAGGAAGGAGGCAATGGCAAACTACTTCTGAAAAACCTTGCCAAGAAAAGTGCATGGACTTGTCCAGGCAGTCACCAGGAGTTCTGACATGAAGGCACCAAAAAAAAAAAAGAAAAAAAAAGAAAGAAGGAAAGAAAAAGAAAAGAAAAGAAAAGAAAAAAGGAGCAAGATATGTGACCTTAGTTATTATTGCCACATACTATTTCTTTATGAGTAGAAGGAAAGAATTTCACACAATGTTAGTCTGTTTTGTTTCCCAAATATTAATTTCAGAGTGAATCACCACCACCATCAGTTGTGCTCTGGGACTGCAGAGTTACAGGCAGATCCCCAAAGTTTATTAAAGACCAATGTTGCTATGTTTTTTCCCTGCTTGAAGAAGACACGAGGGAAAGGAAAATACTTGCTTTGGAGAACATAAAACATCTTTGCAATTGGAAAGGTACAGAAAACAATAAAGCATCCTTGAATCAAGCTTGATTACTAGTAATTATATAGATATCCATGCAGTTTTCTTGGCAGCAATGTGGAAATCGTTTGCCATTGCCTTTTTCCATGATGTTTTATTGACTTTCCAGCCTAGGCTACAGCTCTGGGTTTCCCTGTAGTTTGCCATCCAACCTTAGCCAGGTGCTGCCATGAAGAAAATTCTGAAAAATAGTATTCCTATTCCATCTTTTTTCCTCATTACTAGATTTTTGCAGTAAAGTCAGAAGCAGCAGTGGAAAATAGGGGCTTATTGCAGATCATATTTTCTGGGCCATCTGTAAAATTCATGAAAGAATCGGGGGTGCTTCCATTTAGTCCAGGCAAAGTGCCTTACCTACTGTTTAAATCAGTGTTTTTCAAACTTGATATCTTTAAGATGAGTGGACTTCAACTATCAGAATTCCTATCTTGGGAATGTTGTCCCATCTCCTGGCTCCCCTCCTTTATCAGTTTTACTAACATGTAAAACAGGTTTTCTGCTCAGTTTAACTGCTTCATTTCTGGAGTCTCTCAATTCTCCCCACATCCCCATTTAGTAACACACAGCCTTCCTGCCAGGGTTTATGGAGGCTTTGGAAAGCAGGCTTGTTACCATGGTAATCATACAGCTTTTAAATCCATTCATTCATATTGCAAAAATAAAGACACACACATTTGCACTAACGTGAATATCAGCATAGATATGGGGGGAGAAAAGGCTAAATCAGAAACTTTCTGATTTGATTTTAACATGGATTGTAAAGGCTTTGGAAATGGAAGGCCAGTGGTCTGGAAGAGCCTAGGATGATTACAGTATAAATGTTTCAACTGGACAGGCTTTCAATTCTTATAGATTTTTTTACACTGTTTCAGTCATTAAATAATTGAAAGACAGACACTATTGCTGATTTACACAAATCTTTTAGAAATCCACCAGCAGATATTGTTGGCCTCACTTGTAAACCACTATTTACAAGTGTTCAGGTCCCACCCCCTTTTTTTTCTATCAGTCTGAGCAAAATGGGACAGAGAAACTTTAAAAACTAAACAGTGTTATATCCTTAACGGTTGAAAAGCAAGAAATGTTTTCTATAATCGGAGCAATTTTTCTAGGGGGCAGACAGATACAGGACTATAAAGATGCAATCAAATGAATAAATAAATAAATAAACCCCTCCCTTATTCTTAAAGTATATATTTTAGTGACTGCATGTTTCTTCTAACTAGTGCTGTAGACAACACAGATTTTTTTTTTTTGAGACAAAACAGAGAAATAGGAAGAATAAAGTATAGTAGAAAATCTGGATATTAATTTTAGCATTGTATTATTGGCAGAAAAACATAACAAATAACAGATAATTTTGGTAATATGAAATAAATTTAAAAACAGGAGCTCATAATGTATCTAATATAATTTTACAGTTACTATTTGGAATGGGAACAGGACCTGTCTTAAGTATTCCAGACCAGGAGGAAAACCAGATGGAAGCAGGGTTTGTTTCCAGATTATGGTAGTTTCTGAAGGCTTTGATTGCTCTGACAGTTCTGGAGAACCTGGCAGAAGGTCTTGCATGGTTTTAATAACTGGGCCTAGAGCATTTGCATGAAACAGAATGTTTATGTTAGTAATGAAAATGGATTGCAGTTTGAACAATTATGTCATATATAACATTACATGTAAAACCACATAGCCTGATCATGTGTAATTTTTCTATGAAGTAAGGTCTTGAACCAATGGAATAAGAGTTGGAGTCGGATGGCGTGAACATATTTTATATTATTTCTGTAGTAGTAGCATTGGTTAGATTAGTAGGTGGATTAGTAAATAGGACTGCCTAATCTCCATCATGTAATGCAGCGAGTTCACAAGGTTTTATTTTTTTTCTTTCCAGCACTTTCCCATCCAGCCCCTTCTTCCTATCTGTAAGAACAGAAGAAGGCAATGTAAGATCTCCAGATGTTAGTTTTTACCAGGATGCACATTCCCTCTTATCCTCCAAAGCAGTTCAAATCTGTTGTTTCTCATTTCCACTATATTTCAATGGACTGTTTACAGTACACATCATAGCCATGAAACTAATCAGTTATCAACTGTTTACATCAGTGACTTCCCTGCTGTGATAACCACTGGCTCTCATGTTCTGTTACATCAGCATGGCCAATAAGGAGACATGAAGGGATCTGTGGTCCGCTATCTAGAGGGCCACATATGGAGCAGACATATGGAAATCTATCACCCTCTACTAGCCAGCATTCTACATACCCACTAAAGCAGAGTTCCTCAATGTTGGTGACTTGAAGATGTGTGGAATTTAACCCCAAAATTTTCCAACCCCTATATTTTTGTTGGGGAA